CGATCCGCTTCTGACGCTCCAACAGACAGACCAGCCAACGGAAACACAGCAAGCTGCGTCACTTCCGCTACCGTCGCGCATGCGCAGAATCTTATGACAAAACCCCTCACAAATGTCGTCAAATGCATTGTGATCTTCTGTGTATTTTGTATACATATTATTTTTTTGTGTGTGTGTGTTTTGTTTTCATGTGTATTATCGTAGTCCTAACCGTACTTTGACAGTGTTTATTGAAGTTTAATAAAAACAAAAACTAATGCGTATTTATTATATTAGTTACATTATAAATACAATTATTAATTTTTCCTTCATTTTCTAATAAATAAATAAAGTGACGGATCGCGTTATTTTGGGTATTGATATCGAATAAGGTTTCGTTTTGTCCTCATCCCGCAGTAAAAACCGAACATCTCCGTTGTTTTCCCGATGTTTGAGCACGTGTCTCCAGCAGATGGAGCTAAATCACACTGCCACTGTTAATGAGACGAGATTACAGGCTCGTTTTAAAACTGCTCATTAATCCGTCTGCTTTTGATGCTTTTTGCTTTTTTTTATTAAGCAGCATTACTGTATTGTAGGTTATTATGGAATATTAGGCTCTATTGTTGATCGTTCTGACAAAAATCATTTTGTTTAGCACTCACCTACGCAATGTCTTCGATACTTTGATATTAATCCAAGAGTTTTCGTGGAATCCAATCAAAAGCCGTCAGTCATGAATATTAATGAACGCGGTGACGTCACCGGCAGGCGCACACACATTCGCCACAAAAGATAAAAACACCAAACTCACTCACAAATGAAAGAACCAGCAGGATACAGCAGTCAATTCATACAGAAATCTTTGTTTATTTGCTCTTTATTTGTACAATATGCGAAATGATTTGCCATCGCTGAGAAAGATTTCACTCTATGAACAGAACACAGATCCCTGATTAAAGGCTTTCACCCCAAACACAATCAAACCTTTGCTTTTGATATAAAACAACTCGGATTCAATGCACAAACAACTCATTTTAAGAGAAACTACTTAATAACAGGGCGTTCATATTTCCAAGCACAAATATTTACAATAAATTAATATTTTGCATATCCACTGCATGGCTCAAGATTTCCTGAGAATAGTTGCAAAAAAAAACAAAACAAACTAAGGCAGCTTGACCTTTTTACATAAAAAAAAAAAGACAAAAATCAGAACTTCTGCAAAGTACTTTATATTCAAGACGCAAAGAGTTTTTGAAGGAATTGAGGATTTACAATCATAAGTGGAGACTAATATTTCACAACACAAAGATCCCGTTTTAGTGCAAATAAACCTCTTTGGGTAGTTTCCCTGCAGTCAGACGAACAGTAACACACACCAGACGAAACGAAATGCATCCCTAGTGCATGGCTCAAGATTTCCTGAGAATAGTTGCAAAAAAAACAAAACAAACTAAGGCAGCTTGACCTTTTTACATAAAAAAAAAAAGACAAAAATCTGAACTTCTGCAAAGTACTTAATATTCAAGACGCAAAGAGTTTTTGAAGGAATTGAGGATTTACAATCATAAGTGGAGACTAATATTTCACAACACAAAGATCCCGTTTTAGTGCAAATAAACCTCTTTGGGTAGTTTCCCTGCAGTCAGACGAACAGTAACACACACCAGACGAAACGAAATGCATCCCATAATCGATCGCGAGCGTCTCAGATAGATTACAGATCGCACAAAGCTCCTGCAGTGAATGAAGCCGGCTAAAGCTATAGTTACAAACCTCACTAATGACTCATTTTTCATATAATGCAAATTTTTTTTTTCTTTTCAAAAATATCTCAGATATGCATTTGCTTCAAAAAAAAAGGCAAGACTCCTCCTCGTTTCATTCGGTCTGTTCCGTGCTGGATTGCAATTTAACTCAGAAATTCATGTGCAAAACTTGCAAGCAGAGGACGTCTGAGTCTCAGTTCTCTACAGCACCTGAGCGATCTGACCAGAGGTCATCTACCTGAGGCCTTTCCCATCCAGGAGTCGCTCCGAGAAGGACGCTTCGCAGGAAAGAGAAGATGCAGAATAACCCAAGCGCCTCAAACCAGGAAAGTCACAATAAATATCAAAACCACCAATAAATAAATAGAATAGTATACAAAAGAACTCTCCATCCTGCCATTTCTTTGCTCTTTTTTTTTAAAGAAAACTAGACCCCTTCTGAAAAGTTCTCGAGCGCGTTCACAAACGTAAACGAAAACATTAAGATCCTGGAGGCCCACGCTCTGTGTCTCCATCCGAGCGTTTAAACGCAGAAAGCCCTTTTATAACGTGCGAGAACTGAGACCTGCTCCATTTGAAGACATTTAAATATCTAATAAAAATACATCTCAAGTCCAAACTAACCAATAATCTTTGGTATGAAAGTAAATTCTATCATTTGAAAATAATTCCAAACTCATTTAATTGAGAAAAGGCTAAATTTCAGAGCAGCTACGGTAAATTATACATATACTCGCCTGTAGGTGGCGACATGCTTTCTCGTTCTCAAACAAATCAGGTTTGTTCAAGCACTCGCTCCTGTTCAAATGTTGAAAAAAAGCGTGAACATCACCGGCCTCACAGAACATTAACAAAACTAGACGGAGCTCCAAAAGCAGTCGATTTGGATTCATACGAGAACCACAGAAACCAATCAGATCAAGCGAGCAGAACCCTGCTGATTCTCCAGGAGCTCCGCCAGAAGACTACAGGTTAAAGAAAGTGCACTTCCATCACGTACTGAAAGAGCTCCGTTATCACGCACTAACTTTGTACTTAATACACTAAAAGTGATTCTTTAGTACTTCTTAAAGGGATAGTTCACCCAAAAATTCTGTCATTAATTACTCACCCTCATGTCGTTCCAAACCCGTAAGAGCTTCGTTCATCTTCAGAACATAGATGAAGATATTTCTGATGAAATCCGAGAGCTCTCTAAGCCTCCATAGACAGCAAGCATCCGAACACCATCAAGACTCAGAAACGTAGCATCAGTAAAATAATCCATGTGTCATCAGCGGCTCAACCGTAATATTATGAAGCTACGAGAATACTTTGTGCGCAAAGAAAACTAAAATAACGACTTTATTCAACAATTCGTCTCCTCCGCGTCACCCTATATTTTGGAGAGCATCACATACGTACATTGGATACATTGTTTACGTCGTTGACGCTTTGATCTGAACGTAAACAATGTATCCGCGTACATGCGTTGCGTAGGTTGTTTACGTATGTGATGCTCTCCAAAATATAGGGTGACGCGGAGGAGACGAATTGTTGAATAAAGTCGTTATTTTAGTTTTCTCGTAGCTTCATAATATTACGGTTGAGCCGCTGATGACACATGGATTATTTTACTGATGCTACGTTTCTGAGTCTTGATGGTGTTCGGATGCTTGCTGTCTATGGAGGCTTAGAGAGCTCTCGGATTTCATCAGAAATATCTTCATCTGTGTTCTGAAGATGAACGAAGCTCTTACGGGTTTGGAACGACATGAGGGTGAGTAATTAATGACAGAATTTTTGGGTGAACTATCCCTTTAAGAAGTACTAAAGAATCACTTTTAGTGTATTAAGTACAAAATTAGTGCGCGGAAATAGAGCACTTTGAGTACATTATTATGGAAGTGCACTTTTTTTCACCTGGGGACTCACACTTATACACTCACACACACACACACACACACACACACACTCATACACACACACACACAGGTAGGCGTGGTCACTCTTCCTCCTCCCCAGCAGCGTCCTCCTCCTCCTCTTCCTCCTCCCAGGTTCGATGCGCGACCGATGCGCTTCCATGCGGAGACGCGCCTCCTTCGGCTTTCTCCAGGGCTTTTCCCGCCGGCGCGGCAACCGCCCGCCACAGCAGCTCCGGATAGGGCATGCGGGCCCCCGGCAGCAGGGGGACAGGGATGCCGTGGCCCTCCAGGATCTGGACGAAGGACCCGGTGTGTTGGGGGCCGGTGGGGCGGCGCGGGCGGCGCATGCGGAGCTCCAGGCAGCTGTGGCCCTTCCTGTGGCGCTGCAGATGGTCCTCGCGGGCGAAAGCCTTGTGGCACAGCGGACACTCGAAGGGCCGGTCCCCGCTGTGCAGCGAGAGATGGTTCTTCAGGTCGTAGGAGTGCAGGAACCGCGCGGGGCAGCTGGGACACGGATACGGCCGCTCGCCCGTGTGCTTCCGCATGTGGATCTTCAGCTTGTCGTTCCTGAGACGAGAAATTAATAACTCCAATTAACATGGAAAAGATACCTATTATCACATGAGGATTATTGGTGCCCCTCTGCCTTAAATGTAAAATTAAAAAGGTAATGCATTATTTGTTTCTTATATTTGTATACTTTTTTGCATCTGTTCCTATTTGTGACCCTGGACCTAAGTAGCACAGGTATATTTGTAGCAATAGCCAACAATACATTGTATGGGTCAAAATTATCCATTTCTCTTTTATGCCAAAAATCATTAGGATATTAAGTAAAGATCATGTTCCATGAAGATATTTTGTAAATTTCCTACTGTAAATATATCAAAACTTAATTTTTGATTAGTGATATGCATTGCTAAGAACTTCATTTGAACAACTTTAAAGATGATTTTCTCAATATTTAGATTTTTTTGCACCCTCAGATTCCAGATTTTCAAATATTGTCCTATCCTAACAAACCATACATCAATGGAAAGCTTATTTATTCAGCTTTCAGATGATGTATAAATCTCAATTTCACAAAAACTGACCCTTATGACTGGTTTTGTGCTCCAGGGTCACCATTTATAATAACAAAAATAAAATAAAAAATAGCTATATTGTGATTATCAATACAGTAATTATTATTAAGAAAAGAACTGGAGGAAAAGATGCAACGTTGCTGGATGATTTTGTTTTGGAACCTCAGAAAACTTTAACTCAATTTTTCTTCAAACGGCTGTAGCTCAGTCATTTTTCCTCACAAATGTAGACTCATTTTGGTCACAAATGTAAAACCTTGGCTAGACCGGACCGTACCGTGTGAAGCGGACGCCGCAGGCCGAGCACTGGAACGGTTTCTCTCCCGTGTGTGTCCTCATGTGCCGCGGCAGCTTTCCCGCCCCGTGGATGATCTTCTGACAGACGGGACACTGCTGAGGCGTCTGAGACTTCCTCTTTCTGCCACTTCCGGCCGTTGCTCCGCCCCCTGCTCCGTCGCCCTGTGATTGGCCGAGTTGGGGCGTGGCCCGCCCCTGCGCTCCAGACTCCTCCTCCTCCGAGGGCGTGTCTTCGGGTCTGTGCGTGAACTCCTGCGGCCAGTGCGAGCCTCCGTTCACCAGCAGCCCCGGGGGTCCTTGTGCGGGAAGCAGCCCACATTCGGGCGTATCCGGCGCCGTGGGACTCCTCCACACCGGCCTCACGGGAGACACGGCTCGGGCCACGGAGCAGCGGTCCTGCTTGCGTCGGGACGCCGGCCTCTCAGCCTCCTCCGCCGGATCCTCGCCCATCTCTAGAGATGCAACGGTATGAACATTTCTTATCACGGTGTTGTTAAAATCTGCTGGAAATGTTCAAAGAGTACCCATAAACCGTTTCACCAAGTTTTATATTTAAAATCAACAAACAACAAATAAAATTACTTTTTGTTTGCATAAACACTAAAACAACAACATTACCAATGATGTCCGGATTTTAAACGACAACAGTTTATCTAATAACATGTAAGAAATGTTCAAATAAAGTTTCATAAAATGGTAAAGCTCACATTTCAGCCTTTAAATAAAGAAAGGGGTTAAGTCAAAATGATAACTGATTAATAAATGATTATATGAACTGTATCTGCTCCATTTCTAAACACCTTTTCCGAATTGTTTGAATGCGTATAATCCACATAAGCATGTTTTTCATCAACCGGTCATAAATTACAGCAGGGCACGCAGATTCAGTCTGTTTTTTGTCCAGACAGAAGCTGCACACAGACTGAATGTGAATGTGAGTCTCTGTAATTCCACTCTGTGACAGCAGGGGGCGCTGATGGAGCAGCAGAATTACAGCTGTTTCCCATAAAGAACACTAGTTTATTAGCTATTACATGAAGCGATGTCTTTTCTGAAGACAGTCAGAACCTTCTGAGGTACATTCACATAATTAATTCATTCATATATTCATTTGTATAATTCCCTCAGCACTCGTTTTAAAACCTCGCAGTTTTCCTCCATGTTTTCACTCGAAGCGAAACTACTCTGCTGCTGTTACTGAAAACTGTGCTTTATGCTGAATAGTATTTATTTATCCTGAGTTGTTCAAATCCCGGTAATCAAACATGGTTTTAACTAGGGGTGTGCGATATTGACAAAAAATAACATCTCAATATTTTCTGGGATTTTTTCAATAATTAGATGATATTGTGCTGAGTGTGTTATTGTGCTGGTATCTTAAAGACTGCCGTGGACAGCTGACTCCTAAAGTTTTTGATATTCTTCATATTCTGTGTGTGGTCAGATCACACTGAGAGAAATTAATCTTTTCCAACAAGTTTAAATTGATTTTTACCCTTTTATGGGCATTTTTACCTTTATAAAGCCATTTTTTCCTAAAAGTGTGCATCTTTTGAGTCAAATTCTTACAGTGAATTAGAATAATAGGAAATTTGGGCTGTTAACAAGCAAATTAAATTAGTATCAACAAAATTTATCTTTGCAGAGGCTGCATGTGAAGTGGCATTTAGATGTATTTACACTCTGTTTAATGCAGCTCTGAGGGACATGGAGCGCTTTAAACTGAAGTAACAAATACATAAATAATGTTTTGATATTTTAAACATAAAACGTGGAATACTGTTATTTAAAATTATTTTATAAATGAAAAGATATTTTAAGTGTGAAATTAAAACCGCCAGTAGGTGGCAGCAAGTCACTGTTAATAAGCGAGTCATTGTGATTGAACCGAATCATTTAAACGGTTGATTCATTCAGGAACGAATCATCGTCATGTTGCTCAGAGACACAAAACAGTGCTGTGGCTGTGTTTGGAATTATTTTTGTTGGTGAAATAGAGCAAAAACAGGCCATATGGTGTCTAAAACGTAAGTCTCTTAATATTTAACTTATTGTTTATTGCACTGTTGTATAAAATCAATATCACATTTGTAATCATGCTTATTTAAGAAAAAAATGGCACTCTTCGTGTGATATTAACTAAATGAAATGATATAAATATATACATTTTCTGCCCGCATATCTTGAACTTTGTGATAATTCTAAATGCATTTTAATAGACTGAATCATGCAGTGAAAGAACGCACTCTAAATGCGCACACTAGTAGTCGTGTATGCGTGCACTCCTTAGGTGTGTTTTGTTTGGTTTTTGCGATTTACTCAATGTCAAATCGCACATCGTTAAAACAACAATTACGATATTATCGCAGACAATATATATCGCACACCCCTAGTTTTAATGAAAATTAAAATATGTGTCCCTGGAGCAGAAAAGCAGTCTTAAGTCGCTGGGGTATATTTGTAGCAATAGCCAACAATACATTGTATGGGTCAAAATTATACATTTCTCTTTTATGCCAAAAATCATTAGGATATTAAGTAAAGATCATGTTCCATGAAGATGTTTTGTAAATGTCCTACCGTAAATATATCAAAACTTAATTTTTGATTAGTAACATGCATTGCTTAACTTCATTTGAACAACTTTAAAGATGATTTTCTCAATATTTAGATTTTTTTGCACCCTCAGATTCCAGATTTTCAAATAGTTGCATCTCGGCCAAATGCATGTTTTTCATGCATCCATGCATCAATGGAAAGCTTATTAATTCAGCTTTCAGATGATGCATCAATCTCAATTTCAAAAAACGGACCCTTATGACTGGTTTTGTGCTCCCATATGGTCACATATGAAAGGTAATACTAACCATGGGGAATTTTATCACGATTTATCGTCAAACCAGTAATGGTTCCATGCCTACCCGTCTCGCCCAGGATGTCTCGGCATGCGTCGGCCACGCACTGGATCCCCAGCAGCTGCGCGCCCTTCAGGACCTCGCGCATGCCCGAGCTGCGGATGGTCAGCGTGGCGGTGTAGGCGAACTCCAGCAGCGCGGCCAGAGCGTCAGGAGACACACAGTCCAGCTGACAGACGCTGCAGCTGTCGCCCACGCCCTCGTCTCCATCCTCGCCCTCCTCCGCCCCGAACAGACGCCGGAAGTACAGGCTGACCGCGGCCATGACGGAGCGGTGCGTGGGGTAGCGTGCGCCGTGTGACGTCAGCGTGAGGTCGCAGAGCAACCCGGTCCGCCGCTGGGCATTGGGTGGCTGACTGCTTTTTTTCTAGGCTTGATTGTGTTTATGAGGTGCAGTGTAACATGACTTGCTTCCTGTTTGTTGCTGCCGTGTGTTTTGAGTTTGAGCTCCGTCAAGTTAATTCTTTCAACAATTCTTCTCCTCCTCATCCAGTCTGGGAACATTACAGTTACAGATTACATTATCAGAGAATATTAGTTTTCGATTTGAATTGGTTCATTTAAAAATATATACACTTCAAGCTTTCTATAGACATGTTTCTCGTGTCTGTGTGTCAAGTATTCGCTGAGTTTCGGTTCGTTTTTGTGACGCGTAGAAAGTTGCTCACGGAGACCGAGACGGCAGAAAGAGCACACAGTTTTTTTGTTTATTTTACAAAAGCACAATGTTTTGTTGTTATTGTCAGTGTACACAAATAAAAGTAGACCCTTTTTAGATTCTATTGATTTTAGTCTTATCTGTATCTGAGTATTTTAGGTTCTTTTCTCTGTTACCAGGAAAATGTGAACGCACCGGTGCACAGAGCGTTAAAGACGCTGCATACAATTGTACCTTTGGACGATAGATTTAGATTTCAAAATTAATATTAATTTTAGAACTATTAAAATTATTTCCAGTATGAAACACAAGTACTTTATAAGTAACTGTAATTAAATTACCTAAAAATGAACAGTAATCCCTTACTTTTTCAGAGGATAAGTAATTTAATTACAGTAACGCGTTACACACAACACTGGTTGTGTTCGGTCTATGGAGGCTCAGAGAGCTCTCGGATTTCATCAGAAATATCTTAATTTGTGTTCCAAAGATGAAGGTCTTACGGGTTTGGAACGACATGAGGGTGAGTAATTAATTACAGAATTTTCATTTTTAGGTGAACTATCCCTTTAATGCTTTGTTTAAAAAAAAAGCCTAATTTTTCATATATGTTAGCTTTATTCTACGCCGCTGTCTCCATTGTAATTTGAATGGCCGGTTGACTTCCTGTTTCTATGACACCACGCCCTCCTAAATACACAATGGGCTCTGATTGGTTAGCTGGCCCAGTGTATTGTGATTCGTTAACCGTGTATTGCACGTTGTCCGGAAACGTCAAACCCCTTACCATTACCTAAAGCCGTGCAACATAGCCTCGCCCCCTTTGTTGCATGTTCCCAGGGGCAGGGTTTATGTTAATTGCAGGGTTTGTGATGTCACCAACCCGGGAAGAAGCTCCAGTCGTAATTGTAGGCATTAAACAGACTTTTCTTTAAAAGACAATATCTCTGTTTCCATTGAACTTTCAGCGCCGTTACTTTACAGCATATTGTTTATGCTCAAACAGCAACATTACACACTAACTAAAGTTAAAAAAGTGAAATCGCAATCAACCACCCCTTTAAATAGGAAAAACAGTGTGTCAATAATGCAAAAGGACAACAGTAAACACTCAATTTTCAGTTAAAGGCAGTTCATCATTGAATTCAGTGAATTCATATCAACTCTAGTGGCATAATGATAAAATGTATGGTATAGTCTTTTTGACGCGATCGACCCAAGTTCGAATCCGCCTTTTGCCAAAAAACATTTTTTCTCCCTTTTCAAATTTCATATCACATCAGAAAGGCATTTATTTTCAACAAAAATGAAGGAAATAATCGAAAAGTTTAAAGGGGTCATATGATGCTGCTAAAAAGAACATTATTTTGTGTATTTGGTGTAATGAAATGTGTTTATGCGGTTTAAAGTTAAAAAAACACATTATTTTCCACATACTGTACATTCATTTTTCTCCTCTATGCCCCGCCTTTTTGAAACGCGTCGATTTTTACAAAACTAATCGGTCTGAAAAGCGAGGTGTGCTCTGATTAGCCAGCTATCCAGTGCGTTGTGATTAGCCGAATACCTCAAGCGTGAGACGGAAATGTTACGCACCTCACCATACTGTTGATGCCGTGTCCCGGCCGAAGCGATTTATAAAGAATATATCTTTGGATTTGAGACTTTAGTCTTTGCAACTTTACAGATCTTCTTTATGCACCAAGAGCTTGTAACACTCTAAAGAGAAAGGAAAAAATGAAATCGCATCATATGACCAAAGTATCAGGTAGAGTTAGGGTAGGTCTAGGGAGGGCTTTTTGTCCTAATAAGGTGGCATCCATTTAATAATTTGAATTAAAATGATAAATTTACACTCAATACATCATTATTGCATAATGTTTTATAATGTACAATACTGAGGTGCAAATAATTGCCACTATTTGCAATAAGAAAGCAGAAAATCCTGTGTAAATAGAATCTATTGCTATTTGCACTAATATGCAAATAGCCACTGCCAAAAGCCCAAAAAATAATAATCCACGGCAGCATTTCTATGACTTTCCGAATGAGGAAACAAATATATAGAGAGAGATTGTTGGTCAGATAAGAGAAAGATGTCAAATTTGCCGTTGAATTAGAAACACCCACACAAACAGTTTTCTGGAAAAAAAAAATGCCAAGGTAATATAAAACAAAGTATAGTGTTATAAAATGTACATCATTTTTTTTTAAATGAAAATATAAAAAACTTTGCTAGATTTACAATGTTATTAACTGTGGAAAAACATCAGTCCATTGAATACAATGTCATATTAGTAACAAATAACAATAACAGCAATAATGATAATAACTAAAATTAAGTGTACTTTAATCACAACATGTTCGCAACCTGAACAGTTCAAACACTCCCCTCGTCTGCCATTGGTTGGACAAACAGGTCACACTTGACTCACTCAAACTGAATGTAATTCAGAAATGACACCTGTAAATATCAAAGCTAAAATAAATGCTGAAGAAGACAAATCCCAAAAAACTCAATAGTTACTAATCAACAAGTCTGTTGCTGAATGACTAGTCTAAGACTAGTCTACTAGTCCCTAATCTGATCCTGATGAAATGTGTGTCGGAATTAATAATCACACACACCTACACCTCTTGCCTTTTACTTCATGTGATGGAGGATTTTAATAAGGGCTTAAACGTCCCACAGGCCTCCTCCCAAACGCACAACGCTAATTTAGGACACACCCAATCCAGCAAGCAGGATCAACGGATCAGAGCGACAGAGAGAGAGATAGAGAACGATAGACAGATAGACATGCCCTGAATGTGCATTTGACAGTATATTGTTATGATTTTCATAAGCATTACTGACATTACTATATTTGTATTATTCCAGAAGAAGTGCTGAAGTGGTTAGAGACGCTGCAGCTGCAACAACAACACTTGGACTGCTTCAGTGCAGACAAATATTTACAGGCTACACGTCTGTGTGTGTGTGTGTGTGTGTGTATATGCATGCGTGTGTGTGTGTGTATGCATGTGTATGTATGTGTATGCATGCATGCATATGTGTGTGTGTGTGTGTGTGTGTGTGCGAGATGCATGTGTGTATGTGTGCGTGCATGTGTGCTCTGGGTTGTGTGGGTGGGGTAAACACTATGGGACACAAAAGAACAGGGAGAAATTTTACTTATATTTTCCACTTGAGATTAACATCAGAATCTGCTCAGAAAAGACTTTCCATCTGCTGGAACAGAGAGAGAGAGAGAGAGAGAGAGAGACTGTTCAAATGCGGAGTTTTGCGCATCAACATGTACATCCCAGATTCACACACACACACACACACCTGAGCCCAGAACTTTCCACCAACACCCCGGCGACCTCTCCGCTTCCCCTAACGACCGGTGGCTCCGTACAGCCCATAATACTGGCCTCCCAAACCCTTGAGTGCTGCTTAACAACAGTACACTCCAACACCTGATTAACCTGATCCAAAACACACACACACACACACGAAACAAGATTTCCCTGGAACAGGTGTGGCGTCTTAAGGCTTCTGGTAATGTTACACAATTGAGACGGAGCAGATTAGTCACTAACGAACCACAAGCCCCACTTCAGTTCAGCCTCATTCACTCACACATCAAGCCCAAGACTTTCTCACAAACACACACGTGTTTCTGCCGTCTCGTTTAATAACCCTCGGCCCCGGATCCTACCGTTTGGCCCTTCATAGTGAAGCAGGGCACTGTAGACAAAACCTGCACCGCTGTCTGTGTCATAGCATCCGTCTGTCTGTCTCTGAGACGTCTCTCCTGCTTCTTTCAACAAACTTCGGGGTTCGACGCTCTCCGGTGGGGATCTGGACCTCTTTCTTCCTCTCTTTCTTCTTTCTATCTCTCCTTTCGTCTTCCTGTCTTGTGAAAAAGGTGTTTGAGACGCCTCCCCCCGTCGCCCACGTGCCCCTCGCTCCCATCAGCATCAGCTCGTTTCGAAACGCTTGCAAGTTTCCGAAAACAAAATCCATCACCCTCCGTTGCGAGCTGCGTCCGGATCAACGGCTGCGGCGACAGGAAGGATGATCGTCTGACGGATTTTTGCATTTTCCGTCCAATACTGCGCGTTTATTAATCACAACCAATCATCATTTGAGTTTGGGAAGGACAGATGGAGAAACTTCAATGGTTTCCAAGCCGTGTTAACTAGGGTTAACTAGCAAAGGTGTGAAGAATCAAACACAAACAGCCTGACACCAGATGAGGCTCTCACACACTCACACTCACACACACACACACACTCACACACACACACCTGAGTCGACACAGACCTACGCTGTGTACCCCTGGATTAAAATACAATGATAAATCATTCGCATTTAAATCATCATCATCTAAATTACATATATACT